TTGTTCTGAAGGTGACATTGACATGGTCTCTAGATATCTCTACTTCCTCTGCTGGTGAGTGAAACAAGACTGTCCCTGGCAAGAGGGCACCATGAAGGGCCTGAGGGAGTTGGTCAAAGCCTCCAACGATTTCATGGAACCTGAGAATGAGCAAGCAAAGAAGGAAAGAGAAACAGGTAGTTGGACAAGGCATACAGAGGACAGGTCATTTGGACTGGACAGAGGCTGAGTTCCCTAATGGACTGTACCACTCATGTGTTGGGGAGATTTAACAGTTAGCAAAAGGATTAACAGCAGGCAGAATGTCAGCTTTAGGGAATTAGAGAAAAGTGTTGCTTTGCGTTGATCAATCAGAAAAATGTAACCCTCTGAGCCTCTATAGCCCCTTATTCTTTGTTACTTTCCTCTGGTCCCCTTGGTGGTCACCTCCATGGAAGATGCCTGGTCTCGTGGCTGACAAAGACCCAGGATTCTTACGTATGGATTCAACCCCTTCCATGATGTCCTTACAGAGTGCAGCACAGGGTAGCCTTAAAGATTGCAGCCTAAACACCACCAAGAACCTTCATTTGACCTTGATCTGTCTTCAGACTTCCTCACCTTCCTCTCTCCCCCTATGGCAGCCGTTGGCTTGAAGTTAAATTGATTAATTCTGAATAAAAATGCTGAGGAGAAGTGGGAGGATGCAGGTAGGGAAAGAAGAGGTCTGTAATCCATCAGGGCTCTCCCAGGCTTAGTTCTCTGGCAAATGTCAGAACCTGTTTCGTCTGAAATGGGTCACAGAACCCCAAGTGAGAGTAAGTCTCAGTTCATTTGATCTTCATTAGCTACAGATCACATAGCCAGTTACCCAGGGTGACTAGGGTCTGAATTTGGCAGCCCTGATTATCTTTCAGGTCTGAGAGATAGCAAGTTACTCTTGCATGAACCTCTAAAGTAGGACTGAGGTCATGCTCTTTGTCACAGAAGAAGAGGTAAGGGCCAGAGTAAAGCAGATCTGTTGGCTCCTAAGAGCCCCCTAGCTAGAGGTTCTCAAAGTGGGCTCCCAAGTCAGATAGCAATGTCACTGGAATATGTCAGAAATGCATGTTCTTGGGTCTCAGCGAAGGTCCATTGACTTTGGAAGTGATGCCCATGTTGAAGAAGCACCCTCCCTCTGGTGGTTCTGAGGGGCATTGCCTCAGAACCTGCCTCCTCTCCTGTCACTCTCACTTTTCTTGGAGTTATCACCTGATTTGTCTTGTCCTTCCTTCTACCCCTGTCCTCACTAGTAACTGGCCACCCTGTGCCCATTCTCTCCCCCCATTTCCCACCGAGATTCCTGAGAGAAGATGATCTGGTCACGCAGAGTTTCTATGAAGGACTCGTAGTAGCCAGAGTCTGTGTTCAGCAGGTCCCCGATCATCTGCACTGCCCCACGACTCAGATTCCCCACTTTGATCAGGTACTCCTGGGATCACGTTCAGGGAAAGAAGGCAACCAGGTCAGAATGTTCAGGGAGCCGACATGAGAGCCATTGCCTCCCACCTGGGGGTAATGAGGAACAGAACTGGACAGGGTGGAATGACAGAAGTGCACTCAGCTGGGTCCCAGGTGCCTGGTTTGCACACAGGGCTCTGAGGACAATGCTCCAAATGGTCTCCAAGTCCTAATAACAAGGATAAATAGCTAACGTTTGGTATGGATTTTAACCTACAGACCCTCTTCCAAGCCCTTTACTTGTATAATCCTCTTATATAATCCAAAGAAGCCCTATTTTACAGATGGGAAAGCTGAGGTCCAGTCTTCATGTCCATCTGTAACTGTATGGGGCCCAGACTGGCCTCTCTGATCTACCCCAAACACCAAGCCAGGAGGAAGGTGAATACCAAGTATTGCTTCTCATCCTGCCCTGACCCTCTACTCCTACCCATTACCTGGCTGTCCTGGCCGCTGCACCAGAAAGTGACTATGAGGTTCTACTTCTAGTATAATTGGCCTGTGATTGTGCCCTGTGGTTTGCCCCTGCTCCTTTCTTCCAGACAAGTCCTAGACATGACAAATCTGGCTGGAAAAGTTTCACCAATCAGGGTGGCTGATCAGATATCACAGGACTTTGACCCACCCAATTTCTGAAGCACCCAGTTCAGAAAGGCAAACTGCCACCTCTATTGGAGCAGTCGGCCATGAATGGTTAGGATCTCCTCATAACCATTCAGCTTCCTCCTCAGCTGTCCAAATTTATGCCTCACTTGCCCCCTTTGCTCCCATCTCAGGAACAACCACTGGAGGCCAACTGTCCTCCCCTAGCCAATCACAGGTGCTCCCTTTCCAGCTAACTGCCTCCAGCTTCTCCATGCCAATAGCCTCTGATTGAGGTACATCTGAAACCTTCCCCTTGTGGCTGTGTGTGTGTGTGTGTGTGTGTGGTGTGAGGATTGAACCCAGGGCCTAGCACACGCCAGGCAAGTGTTCTTCCTCTGAGCTATTCCTCCAGCCCCAGTCATCTCTTTTTGCACTACAGCCATGAGTACATCAATGATGGACCACATATAGGACAGTGGTTCCAAGAAAGTATTGTGACATTGTAGCCATCTTTGTGTAACTAAGCATTACGATTTTTACTGAACTATGTCACCATCTAAGGATGCACTTCTGCAATGTTGTCCCCCTCATTAAGCAACACATAACTGTATAAGGGCGTTCCCATACCTCTACCTGCCTTTGACTCTCTACAAAAATGCAAGTGATGGTGGCAAGTTCCTTGAAATAGCATGCTCTGACTTGCTATATCTTTGACCTTTGACTTCTCTCCTTGGGGTGGTCTTTTTAAAAATTTTCTTTCTTCCCTCCCTTTCTACCTTCCTCTCTACTGTCTCCTATCCTAATGGAGCTTACATTTGAGTAAAAGAGAGAGATTATAAAAAAGATAAACAAGTAAGGTGCAGTGTAGTGAGTACTAGGGTGGGTCATCCCACTGGGTTGGTTTCTGGGTAGCTGTGACAGGGTGGTGCATGGTTAGCCGTGGTTAGAGGGGAGCCTCAGGACTGACCTTGGTGGAGAAGGAGTCATACTTCTCCAGAATCTGGCTGCAGCTACTGTTCTTCAGCTCCTCCACCAGCTTGGCATGGAAGAAGGAAGAGGGGTGGACACTTTAGTGAAGGTCAGTTCCCCACACCTACCCTAGACCCTGCTCCCACATACCCCCATATTCCACGCTTGGCACTTGCTTCCACTCATCCTGGATGTGTCTGAGGCATTCTTTATATTAGTCCTGAATGCAACACTCAGTCCTACAGCTGGATTGGGGCACTTGAGGATGGAAACATTATCCCCTCTCTTGCACATACTCTGAGGTGTATAAAGCTGGAGCCAGGCTCCCTGTCAGCCTTGGAGCCCCCAGAATTGGGGAAGTCTATCTCCTTGTCCTTGTCTGAGGACATTTCTGCAGGCCTCTGGGGCCACTGTGAATGGTGTGGATGCCTAAGGGCTTGGTCCTACTGAGCTGTTGAGTGACACTGGATGAGGTCCAAGAGCTGCGGATTGTATGCTGAGCTTAGCAGGATATCACTCCAGCAAAGGCAGGGCATCTGGACAGAGGCCTCCTGTGGAAGGTATGTCCCAGAGCTCAGCTGTCACACTGAGGTCCTTTTGGGTCACAGGTCAGGAAAGAAAAAGGCACTGTTAGTGCTGAGTAAACATTGTTCAGTTAGAAGAAGGCATGCAGGTATTCCAGACAGGGCCCATCATTGATTTTCTTCCTTGACCACATATCAATAATGATGACAATTATAATTCAAGATTGGCCATATGCCTTGCAAAGTTCTGATCACTTTATACGCATCTTCTCACTTAATCTTCACAACCAGGCTGGGAGAGAGGCTCTAGCAGTATGATTGTTTTATAGAAGTTGGAACAGAGAGATGGCAAGCATCTTGTCCAGGGTCACACAGTACATTCAAATAGAGTCCAGCTTGTAGGTCTCTCTCTGCCTTAAACCTAGATCTGCCTTGATGATCTCAAAGGCAGCTAGCTTTATACATATCTGTACATGTGAAGACCTTTGGGATCTGAAAATGCACAGTGACTGCTAAGATGGAAGGTCATGGGAGGGAGGCAAGGTTGACAGACCAAGCTAGTGGAGCCCTCCTGCACATGGGCCTGGGGTCCACAGAGAGAAACTTTAGAAATTTTGCACAAGATGTCTTTGAAGAAGGTGATGGCCTGCATGGAGGTCACTGATTCCTACTTTGGCTTACCTTTCTCAATGCTTCATCAAAGAGCTGTTCAGCTGTCTTCCCCACCTCATCTGCTCTGACTGGGTACCCTAGCAGGCTGGGGTCAGCCTGCACAATCCCCGTGCGCTGCCGTACTCCATTGATCAGCACCCAGGTCTGGTTGTTGGAGGGGAAAAACTCCTTGAGGGTCAGCCCCAGTTTCCTAATAAACTCATGACAGAGCCTGTGGAGTGAGTCAGAGATTGATCCAGGATGAGGAAGCAACCAGTCTTCCCTGCTCCCTGTGCTCACGTCCTGCCCCTACTGGATTCCCTGGGGCCCTCTCTAACCTCCCTCTACAGAAGGAACACTGGCTACTTAGCACTGAGTTGCTATGCCAAGCTATGGCTATGTGACCAAGAGGAAACCCTCTTTGCTGGCTGAGATATCTCTCACTTTGTTCAAGACTTGAAGCCTTCAGACTTTTAGGTGTGGCCCCTCCAGGTCCAGGAGATACTATGAAGATGTGTAGAGGGAGTGTCCTCTGGATTTATCCTCCCTGGAGGCTGTGTGTATCATGAGTCTTCCAGTCTGCATTCTCCTAATTCCTGCTCACCCACCCCTTCAGGATGGCCCTCCCGAAGTGGGCTCCCACAAGGCACCACTTTCTCCCACAAGGATGTTCATATTTCTATCGTTAGCAGGCCTCCCAGACTGCCTTTTGACTTTCCCAGGTGTTCTCCTATCCCAATTATCTTTTGTGATCCTCAACAGGTACAGCTATGTCTGTTCTCTATATTAGAACATTGATGCTGGGAGAGGTTTCGAGGTAGCTGTGGAGCTATGAAATGAGTTGGCATAGGTCCTGTCCTTGTTGCTAGCAGCCCATATCCTGGTCTTCCCCATCCACCCCCACTTCTCTCAATCATACCTGTGGTTGATGGGGATCCTCATGGCACCCAACTCTATGTACAACTGTGTTCCAGGAACTCTATGGGTCTCAATTCTGCCACCTACACGCCCTGAAGCCTCCAGGACAGTCACCTAGAAAGATAAGTATTTATAGAACACAACTAGGCCAGCCGTGTCCCCGCCATACAACCCCCGTCTTCCTCCCTCCAGCTAGGCCCAGATTTGCCTCTTTCTGAAGTCTCTCTGTGTCATAGAGACAGACCAATTTCTCTCCTACCCCTTCCATCCCAGCCTAGAATCCTAGACTTAGTCTTTGGCTCCAGTTCCACTGGGCTATCTACCACCTGCAGCCACCTCCCTGCTCAGAGTCCAGGATCCCTGTGAGGTACTCTCCCAAGCACCCTTGTGTACCTGGTGGCCAGCATCCTGCAAAATCTTGGCAGCTGTGAGTCCAGCCATGCCTGCCCCAATCACCACTATCCGTTTCTTTTCAGCTGTCGGCCCCAGCCCGTCTTGAGCCAGCTGTAGTAGTTCTTCATACTGGGGGTCTTCAAAGCATTTGACAAGGTCATCATCAAAGGCCTGGGTACTCACGCCCAGCATTGACAGAAGGGCCAGAGCCAGAAAGCCTGGGAACATAGTTGTGGAGATGGCAGTCAGACAAATAGCTGGGGACCAAGGAAGCCAGCCTTAATCCTTGATCAGTGGAGGATCATGTCACTGAACCTGTAATGCAACATCCTGGGAATTCCTGTTTCTTTCCTCCCTACCAGAGTGTGCATTAGCCGTGGACCCTCCCATTCTTGCTTTCCACGGGGAGGTCCATTCAGGGAGAGACACAGGCTGCATATCTGTCCCTGAGGACCTGCCATCACCTCAGCCAGCTGGACTTCCATGTAGGAGGCCAAGCCCTCCGCTGACTAGAAGACAGGTGAGATAGCTCTACCCTTCACGTTGGGTTTCCCTATCTCCCCCTTGGGGTTGATAAAATGTTTGTTAAAATGGGAATACATTACCTCACTGCAGCTAAGGAAGGATGCGGGTAAGACATTGTTTAATAAACTTACGTTCTCTGAGGTGTGCATGGTAGGCTACCAGCTTTCCAAGACCAAGAGGAACATCCTGGGGTCATCTCTTAGAGATGACCAAGGGTTATTGAGGTTAAAGAATTTTCTAGACCTAGCCTCCATTTTCACACTTGTCTTCCATTATATTCTGGCTCTGTTCTGAGAGAGATGTGCCATAACTTCCCCCTAGGGTCCTATAAAAGGTGTAAGTCTTGTGATTGTTTCGTTCCTATTTTCAAAACTATTTATCTGTGCTATGGGCTGAATTGCATATTCCCAAAATTCATATGTTGAAGCCTTAATCTCTAGTACTTCATAATAGTGACTCTATTTATAGATAGAAGCCCTTAAAAGGTGGTTAAGGTAAAATGAGGCTGTTAGGATAGATCCTATTTCTATCTGATTGATGTCTTTATAAGAAGAGGAAATTTGGACACAGATAGAGACACCAGGGATGTGTACACAGAGGAAATAACTTGTGGGAAGATAGTTTTCAGGAAGCCAAAGAGAGGTCTTAAATCAAACCTGCCAATGCCTTGATCTGGGACAGCCAGACACCAGAACCATGAGAAAATAACTTTCTCTTATTTAAGCCACTCAGTCTGTGGTATTTTATTATGGCAACCTGAGCTGACTAATATAGTTTATTCCTTTTCTCCCCCCATGTGGAGAAGAAAAGATGATTGGTTCTTACCCAACTCTCTCAAGTCAGATAGCCACAGACCTTGGAAGAAAATTTGTATTCATTTTTCTTCTTAAAATTTTTTTGGTGTTAGGAATCAAAGCCAGGGCCTTGCAAATGCTAGGCAAGTGCTCTATCAACTGATTTATATCCCCACCCATATTTGCTTTTCATGTAAATCCACACAAGGAATGTGTGAATGTTCCCTGGTCTTCAGTCTCAGGATTTTTATTTAATTTGGGCTACCCTTCTTTCTTGGTTTGTCATAGGATTGGTATTCACATTATAGAAAATAAAGGCACAGAGGGACCCATCATTTGTCTCCTTCTGGGTATAATTTCTCACTCTCCCATTTCATTTCAATCATCACCATTAAGTTTGTGTGGTCCTGCTGATTCTTGCATGGAGTATGTTAGATAATTGCTAACCTCTTGTCTTCTCCATCTTGAAAAAGAAATCAGTCCCTACTGCACAGAGCGTGTCTCCTGAGAAGCACCTAACGTATTTGTGGAATATAGGGATAGTAGAAAAACTAGTGGATGGAAAGATGGGGCACAAATAAATGAGTGCATGGATAGATAGTGGGATGGACAGTGGGAAGGATGTGTGCACAGAGAGGCTTTGGGGCCTCCAGCCTCTGCATTTCATCACAGATTCCAGCTGGTGGGCAGTGTCCAGTCTGGACTTGTGCTCTCTGGTTCTTGAGACCAACATTTAAAAAGTTATTTATTTTTTGGTTCTTTTCAATTATATATCCATTTTGCTATGATTATGCAAGCATGGAGTATATGTTACTCTAGTTAGAATCTCAGTCTTAAGGATGTACATGGTGGTGAGATTCACTGTGTTGTTTTCACACATGTACGTGGGAAAACTGTGTCAGATTCATTCCACTGTCTACTTTGCTCATCTCCCCTCCCTTCCCTCAATTCCTCTTTGTCTACTGCTCTTCTAGTCTTCCCTTCACTCCTCCTTCTATTGTGGGTTAGGGTCCACCTATCAGAGAAAACATTCCCCCCTTTTTTCGGGGGGGGGGATCCTTCCATCCACCTTTCCCCTGTCTCTGGCTGAGGACTTCACCTGCTTCTCCAGCTTCCTTCTGTGAATCTGTGTGTTTGGCTTTCTCATTCCTTTTACTCTGTCCACACACATGCACACCCTTCAGAATTCAGCCTCTCTCCGACCTCAGGAATCGTACATCTTTTCTTTCTTCAAGGAATGGGAATAGGGTTTATTCCTTGTCTCTTTCTTTAAAAAGAGAGTAGAATCTGACTCATTCTGAATTCCCAAGTTTTGGTCTTTTTCTCCCCAGTCCCTTGGGATGTTTATTATTATTCATTACTTGCTTATCTGTGGTACTTATTGATTGAATACAGGGCCTTTCACATGGTTGGCCGGTGCTGTACCACTGAGTTACATACCTAGTCTTCCAAAAACATTTTTATTGTTATTATTTACTAATTAATTTGTTTTATGGTACTGAGGATTGAACCCAGGACTTCACACATGCTATTCAAGGACTCTGCCACTGAACTATATTCCTAACCCTTCCAAATTAAAAAAAAAATTAATTTTTTATTTTGCCAACTTGCCCAGGCTGGCCTCTAATTTAGAATCCTGTAGCCTCAGCTTCCTGAATAGCTGGGATTACTGGCGTGTGCCACATACAGTCTATTTTAGTTTTTGATTAATATATATTGATTTTACATATTCATAGGATTCAGTGTGATGATTCACACACATGCATACATGCACTGATCATTTCAATGGCATCTCTGTATGAATTGAAAATGGTACTTGAAATTGTCAGCAATTCCATTCTTTAAGGAAACCATAGATTCATGGCTGGACCTTCTAGGAAACACACATGCTTTGGGGTGTTTTCTCAAAGGTGGCGGGGGGAGTTTCCATGGAGAAAGCCCCCTCTTCTATCAGTTGTCTTGCCCTGTAGAGTCAGCTCTGTAGAGTTAGCTCATTAGGGCAGAGGGCTCCTCTCTGGCCATAGAGAACAGAACAGAGTATCTTTGCTTGTGGAGCTATCAAAACAATCCAGAATAGCCTTGATCTCACACAGAAGAAACCAGACCCAGAAATCCATGGAGACACACAGGCATTTACTATTTGCAAAGAGAAACCAACACCAGACCCACAGCCCTAGCACCCCTCCACATGCCTGCTGAGCGAATCAACAACCTGCCTTAAAGAATTGATGTGTTCTGTTTTGGAGGTGGGGGGACTATTAAGCAGCCCAGATGCCTGCTCTGAGGGTTAAAAATCAGATATTTCCTGTTCACTCTGAATAGAAGCTGTGCACAATTATTACATGTCAATTAAAAAGGAAGAAACCTCCATAATTTCTGATCTTTTGTCCCCTATTGGTTTGGAAAGCAGGATCGCCAGCACAGGTTAATGGGAGATAAGAAAGGAAGACTGGGAGGAAGAGGGATGGCCCAGAATCCTGGCCTTGTGGGCTCCCTCTGGGTACTCACAGAAGCTCAGCATGGTTCTTAGTTCCCCAGGATCTGGAGCTGGATCAGGTCCTGATAGGGCTCTGAGGATTGTCTGAAAGATGTGAACAGAGTTAGAGATATATTTATGGCCTGTTCCTGCCTCTCAACTTCTTAGTTCCTACCCTTAAGTGACAACACCCACTGGAAGCCTGCCAGGGAGGAGGCCCTGGACAAGAGAGGCTTGGGTCCTGGGGGAAGTAGGCACAATCTAGTGCTCTTCTTATCTCCACTTACCAGATCTGCCCACCTTGCCTCCCACTACTCTGTCAAGTGGCCCTTACTCTGTCAGTTTCCTTGGCTAGAAACCCTAAGGTAGGTTTGAGTCCTCCTTTCCCGAGTCTCTGTGTCCAGCGTTTCCAGCTTCCTTAAGCTCTGCCTTCCCAGGGCGCTTACCATAGTACCCATTCTTTGCTTAGGTTCCCTCTCCCAGCTAGCTTGTGGGGTTCTCTCCCTCTGCCCCTTCACAGTCACTGCAGCTGGGCCCTGTTTGGCAGCTCCCTCTCTCCCTCTCTTTTTAATATTTTTGTAGTGGGGATTGAACACAGGGCCACATGCATGCTAAAGCAAGAACTCTACCACTGAGCTACCCCCTCAACCCCAAATTTGCTCCTGGAAACCTTTGATACTTTTATTTATTCTGCTGGCTAAAGAAGAACCTATCAAAGAACTTGTTACTTTAGCAAGGACGCCTATTGGAGTGCTGGGTAGGCAGTGGTGCTTCAGTGAATACTCTCTCAATGAACATATAAAGGAGGTGTGAGGTTCAGTACCCAACACTGTGGCTAGCAAGGACTCTGGTTTCCAAACTGACAACCTCCAGAAGACAGCCTATCCCATCCTCTTCTCCCACATTATCTCTTCATAAACTTGTCTTGGACAAAAGTGCCTCCGCCTCAACCCCTCATGGTGCGTCAGGATATTTACAACAGAGATTTCTCTATCTATGGCTTAATTAGTCCTTTGCTTCCTGCTCCCAAGTGCATTTTGTCCCCACCCACCCAATTTCCACGACTCCCAGTGTTTTTTCCTTGTAGCCTTTCGGGAACTGTCACCTTCCTCCTTTGCCATGCCCTTTGCAGGGTGGTGAGGGTTTGGGCTGTCCAGGGTGTGGCAAGGACGTGCAGAGACTGGAACAGTCTGGGCTGGAGAGAAGGGGTGGGGCTTGAGCTGGTAGAAAGTGGAGGTGGGCAAGGGGGAGTAAATGTGTTAAGGCACAAGCACTAGCTACTGTCACCCAGTCTTGTTGTCTGCCCTCTGAATCCCAGGGCTGTGAAGGAGTTCCTTAAGCTTGGCCGTACTCAGCAACGAGCTAGCAAAGCTATTCAGCAGGAATGCTGGCATCCAGTTTTAGGCCTTTCTAATTCCTTCTAGAAGTGTTCCAACTCTATCACCTCTCTTATGCACAGTAACCAGACTGGAAAGATCCTCAATGTGCTGGGTATATTTAGAGACAGGCATAGCACCAGCCAACAAGCAGGTCAGCCCTGTCACCTCTTAAGCAGATAGTACTCTGCTCATCTCTAAAGATCCCTGGGCATAATGTTGAACAAAAGACACCAGACAAATGACACCTACTTGTTACTCTCCTTACATGATGTTTAAACACAGGAAGAACTAAAATTCAAAATCATAAAAAGGCACCCCCCCATGCTAAATGTTTTTTTTTGTAGGTTAAAAAAAAACCAAAAAAATGAAGGAGAGAGACAAGAGTGGAGTATATCAGATGGTGGAAAGCATTCTGGAAAAAGTAAAGTGGGCAGGGTGGTGGGCAGGACGGTGGAGCCCAGAGCAAAAGGGGGAGCCAGAGGCCAAGGAGCCAGAGGCTGCTGGGGATTTGGGCTCACATCTGTTGAGAGCCTTCTTGGGCTATGCCTTGCCTGCCTTGCTTCTAGGAACTGATTAAGGCCTGAGAAGCCCTAAGCACTGATAGGTGGAATTCTAAGTAAAACATGGCTAAACTCGTATAGATGAAAGTCTACAAAGTTATTTTTTTTAGTTTATTTATTTATTTATTTTTAAAATCCAATATTAAATTGCTGGGGAAACTCCATTCTCTTGTGGGGGGTGTTTTTTGTGGCCAGGTCCTGGGATGGAAGTTTGACCCCACTCTTGCTATTCCCGCTCTGATTATTTTACTCACCCCACATCCCACACACCCGGAAGCAGGTCCTCTTATTACTGTTGTTTCTTGATGAGGAAATAAGACTTACAGGAATGGGGAACTTGCTAAGATGGCCCAAATCACATCACAAGTGTGTGTCAGAAATGAGACACACATGAGCTTCCTTTTGGCTCTTCCTGGCTTCTGAGGATGTGTTAAACACTGGGTGTGGGGGGGAGTGGTGGGGACTCTGGCAGGGCCACAGAACCAGAAGAAAGAAATCAAACATCTTGTTCAATCTCTGGTGCTGAAGTTGCAACACAGCCTGACGCACAAGCACACATTAAGGCTCAGTGAGCAGGTCAGCTTTCAAGGGTGGGCTGCCGGGATGGAGCTTCCTCAGGAACTCCTGGCTGCAAGGAAGGCATCTCCCAGGAAGGTGGGAAATGACTGCTACAAGTGTGTCCTGAGGACCAGTGTTTTGACTGAGGGGCACTAGCTATGTATGCTAGTGCTGCTGGCTCTCCCAGTCACTGATGTATTGGTGGTGGTGAGTCCACTCGGGCCTGGCCTAGTCAAGCCTCTGTTCTTCTGATCCACTCAGAGTCTGGAGAAAGGCTGGATGTAGAAGTGCTGTCCAAGGGAAGGCCTGACCAGACCACTGGCATGTGGCTGGGAGCCTGTCCTGGGGGACCCTTATCCTAGGGGTCCTGTTTTGGAAAATCTTGTCCTGGTGGCCTTGTCCTAGGAGATCCTGTTCTGGGGGGCCTGTCCTAGGGGGCCAGTCTAGGAGAGATTGTCCTGGGGGAGCCTGTTTTGGGAGCCTGCCCAAGGAGGCTTATCTTAGGGCAGCCTGACTTGCTTGTCCTCTGAGGGGAGGCAAAAGAGCTTGGAGAAGGGAATTCTCTTGAGGACTCTGGAAGGGACTCTGATCTCCCCAAAGTCATCCCCATGGGTGAATCTGTTTATTGTAGGAGAACTGGTGGAGGTGGGAAGAGAATGGGAGGAGGAGAGGAAGGATGCAGGAGCAGGAAGGAGCAGGGTACTGAGTCCGTAAAGGGGAAGACCTCAAGCAAGTTTCCTGCCTGGCAGCCCTTTGAGGACCTGCCATTAGCCCCCAGCTTGCCTTCTTCTTTGTGTACCTTGTCTGTCTCCTTCACAGACATTCTTTGGGGTAGATGAGAATCACCGAGAGCCCTGTCTTCTTGTGTTCCCCTGCATCATATACAGAAAAAGCGATTGTCACTAATCCTTGCCCTGGCTCCTTCCTTTTGGCACTGCTGCCCTGCCCTGCCCTCCATAGAGGTATCAAGAGTGTGAAGTGAGGCCCAACAGGGGGACTATGCGGGTCACGGGGCCCCAAGAACACCGCCACTGCCTTTGCCTCTCCACTTGAGGACTCTACCCACTTTCTACTGCAAGAACAGTAGGGGACCTCAAAAAACTTAAAGGAGGTGGGAGTGGGGGTGAAGCATGCAGAGCAGGAAGAAGGAAGAGAGAACAGGGACCCAGGAGAACAGATTGCTACCCAAAAAACATAGTGGGGCAGACACAACTTACACTTCCAGACCACACCTCCTTCCCACACACATACATCCTTCTTCTCTGGGCTACTCTAGGACCATCTTACCTTTATGAGAAGATGAAATGACAAGAGGCAGAGAGAAGGGACCCTCCCTGGATCACAGAAGTGGGGGCTTACTCCACCCCAATCCTCATGCCATCCTTTCTCACTGGCACCCTGTCTGATTCCTCACCAAGAAAACAGCTCTATGGATGATGTGGCCAATGGGAGTCCTGGTCCAGGTGGAGAAGGACTGGACCTCAGGCACACATACCTCCTTCTGGAAAGGCAGGACAATTAGAGGAAAGGTCACTAGAGGAAAGAAAAGAGTCTCTGCATGTTTATCCTAAAAGTTTGTGCTGTGACAAAATATAGGGATCAAGATACCTAGGTGCCTGTAGCATCCATGTCTACAAAGCCAGGGCTTGATCCAAGTCATGGGTGTCTGGGAGGGTAGGTGGAGTCAGAGTCCTGGATAAGGACTTTCTGTTGTGCTCCTCATAATCAATCTACGGTCTGGATGTTCATGCAGTTGAGTTTCCTGATCTCTCCCCTGATTTCCAGATCTTTGCTGACAGGTCCCACCAGTGAAGTTTGCAGAAGAGAAAGGAAGGGTGTGGGATTTAGATTGTGCTGTTAATCCAAACCAAATGCCAGTGCCTCTGTGCCAGACATCCAGTAAGATGTTCTCATCCTGATGCAATAGGTGGCCTGGTTCAAGAGAGTGTACCAATCTTCGGCTCATCAGGATCATATAGCTTGGGCCTGAGTAGGTGTGTACCCATGCTCAGTTTCTATCTCCCACCTTCTCTGTGACTTAGCTACTGGGCACTGTTTCCCAGCATCCTAACGGGAGTGGACCTGAGTGACCGGGTATGGTCTCATACATGTCTTCTCTCTGAACCTTTAAACCTGGTCTTCCTTCTTTCTAGAGCTACACATGGAGAGAAAGTTCTAGCATGACCAGAAGTCTTTAGGTGTCCTCTGGGAGGATGAGAGAGAATACTAGAGGTTCTGCTGCTGTTAGTGGTGCTCATAGTAACAGCCTTCTCTGCCTTGGCCATGTGTCTCCTGGCTGCTGTCTTCCTTCTGGAGGTCTTTCTTTTCTACCCTTTCATCCCATCTGTCCATCTGGTACATAGTATTGTTCTCTAGTGGTGGGTGGGGTGTTGGCAGCAATGACTTTTTGTCCTTCAACATTTTTATTTATTTTATTAAAATACACACACACATAAATTTTCTTTTTTGGTACTAGGATGAAAGGCTAGTTAAACATATGAAAATCAATAAATTTAACACAGCAGATGAATAGACTTAAAGATAAGAACCCCATGATTATCTCAACACGTGCAGAGAAAGAATTTGACAAAATACAGTATGCATTCATGTTTAAAATATTAAAAAATCTAGGGAGAGAAGAA